AGCAAAGGCCATCCACACTCTGGAACACAAGCAAAGGCCATCCACACTCTGGAACACAAGCAAAGGCCATCCACACTCTGGAACACAAGCAAAGGGAAATGTGGTGGTATTGTCCACGGTTTGGCACAGGACCCCCCTCCAGCCCCAGGTCCCATCTGATCCCGTCCACAGTGCCTTTATTTGCTGTAACGTTGTCTTTTCTTCTCAGCTGTGTTTCCTTGTCCTTGATAAACTGACTGCAGAATCTCCCGCCAAAGTCCCTGCACGTACCCTTCTTCCAGACTCCAGCCTGGGAACCGGATTTCGGTCCTGGTACTGTTACCCGCCAGCTTCCCTCTCCTCCTCCTCCGGTTTTCCTCTTGTGTAGCGGGGACCTTCCATGACTCTGACTCACTCTGATAGGTCTACCTGGCTTCTGACTCGGCCATCTCATGCCATATTCCTAAGAGGGCTTTTGTGCAGAAACTGATGTTTTGAGTAAAACATAAGGCTTAGATGCTAAGGTATAGAAAAAGACAATGCTAGTTCTTAATCTTATCACCCTGACTTCTTAAGTCCACCCTTTTCAGATTCTTTGACTCTTCTTTGGAAATTCTTCTCTCTTCTTGGTATACTTGAAAGTCTGTAGAGATGCTGGGTAGCTGGATTGAAGACAGTGTGGTTTTACTAAGAACCTCAAATACACTGGACATAGGAAATCCTGAAAAGCTCTGTGTGTCTTTTTATTTATGTGTGTGTGTGTGTGTGTGTGTATGTGTGTGCGCACGCGCATTTGCACGAGCTTATGTGGGCCACATGTGCACAGGTAGCCACAGAGGCCAAAGTGCATCGGAGCCCTTAGGACTGTAATTACATGGGGTTGTGAGCCACTTGACGTGGGTGCTGGGACCCACTCCCAGATCCTCTGCAGGAGCAGTGCTCCTAACTGCTGAGCCATTCTTCAAACCCCTCACTTATTTTTTAGTGAATCATGAAAAATGCATTACTTTATTTGTCCTACCTCAATGTCACCAACATGAAGATATTTGTGTCCAGTGTTTGAGAAACCAAAGCTTTGACTTCTCATTTCTCCACAGATAGATGGAAGAAAATTAATGCAATAATTAGGGTGAAATAATCAAAGGCAGAGCTTGAGTAACGGAGTCAGTGCCTTCATTATGTTCTTGAGGACTGTCCCCTCCACTGTCCCCTCCACTGTCCTCTCCACTGTCCTCTCCACTGTCCTCTCCACTGTCCCCTCCACTGTCCTCTCCACTGTCCCTCCACTGTCCCCTCCACTGTCCTCTCCACTGTCCCCTCCACTGTCCTCTCCACTGTGTCTCCACTGTCCTCTCC